ATGTTCTTTGTACATTTATCTATGAAGTCTTTTTAAGATAACAGTTTCTAAACACTCTCCATATATTATGTTTACTAATCCTTTTCATATGCATTATACATGTATTTTTTAATGATTTTATTTATGGTTTTATGCCATACAAGACGTTTTCAATTTTTATGTAGAAAACTGTTTCTTGGTTAAGGCCTCTTCTATCTCTCTATTTTGTAAATGTGGCTTCCAACGTTTTCTTGCAAGATTTTTATTCTATGTGTTAATTTTTATGTCTTTAATCCATCTGGAATTTATTTTTGTATGTGGCATGAGAAAGCAGTTTGATTTTACTTTCTTCCAGATGGATAACCAGTTGTGCTGCTCCTATTTTCCTACTCAGTAGAACTACCATCTTTGTCATATTTTAAATTCTCATATATACTGGGATTGATTTCTAGATTGTTCTCTGTATTATCTGTTTGCATATTCCTGTCCCCACACTGTTTTGATTAAAGAGGCTTTGTATTATTTCTGATAGCTGTGAAAGCAAATCTTTTTGTTTTCTATTTCATACCTTACTTGACTATTCTGCAAATTTAGTCTGCCAAAAAAGGTATTTTATAAAACCTTAAAACCTTTTATTCAATCTCACTACCACCACCGCCCTATAAGGTTATGTGGAGATTCTTATTTGAATTGCATTTAATTTACATACCAGTTGAGGGTGTAAGTTCAACACGTGAGAATACAGTATTTTTGTTCTTTCAGGTTTTTTGTTTGTTTGTTTTTGTTTTTGTTTTTTTGCCTTCAAGAATTCTGAATTGCCTTCATAGGGATCTTGTGGCTTTGTTGTTAAACCAGTTCCTAAGAATTAGCGGGTTTGCACTACAGCAGATGGAATGGTTTTGTCAGTTTCCGTTTGTAGGTGCTAACTGCTACAATAGAGAAAAGACAGTGATTTTTACATTTTTTCTATTTGCCTCTTAATATTTTGATTAATTATCCTAACTTTATATTGTCATCTTTTGAGATTTTCAGGCGTGTAATAATATCAGCAGTAAAAACAGTTTCACCTCTTTTACAATGTTTATACAGCCTACTAAATTTTCTTGGTTTTGTCTTTATATTTTATAAAAGCATTAAGACAATGTTAAATGATGATGGTGATAACTAGCACCCCCGTCTAATTCCTGAATTTAATTAAAATGGTTTTAGTTTTTCAATCTTTTGGAAAACATATTCTTTTTTTTTTTTTTTTGATAAACAATTTGTGTTTGGCCGGGCGCAGTGGCTCACGCCTGTAATCCCAGCACTTTCGAAGACCGAGGCTAGTGGATCACCTGAGGTCAGGAGTTCGAGACCAGCCTGGGCAACATGGCGAAACCCCGTCTCTACTGAAAATACAAGAATTAGCCGGGCGTGGTAGTGGGCACCTGTAATCCCAGCTACTCAGAGGCTGAGGCAGGAGAATCGCTTGAACCCAGGAGGCAGAGGTTGCAGTGAGCCAAAATAGTGCCACTGCACTCCAGCCCAGGTGACAGAGTGAGACTACATCTCAATAAATTAATAAATAAATAATAATAATTTGTGTTTCATTTAAGTGGTTTCCTTCTATCCCTGGTTTGGATTTTTTATTAGGAATGTTACTGAATTTTATCAGCTTTCTCAGGACTATTACTAATTTTCTTTAATTTGTTAATGGAGTAAATTACATAATTATCAACATATGATAGACTTCTTATATTGAACTACTACCCTTGGCTTCATGGAATAAATTTTTATAGACCAAGCACCCTGGTAGTCTTTTGTCTTCTGGTGTTTGATTAAGAGCTCCTCAACCCTGGCCTCTAGGTAGAACTTGTCAGACTCAGAGGAAAGAAAGCTTAATAAGTAATCCACAGGGACTCTCATGGCTTCTCTTACCTCCAGTTGCCTGTAATTCTTACAGCTATTTGGATCTTGTGAATCAAATAAGTTGGAGTTGAAAATGAAGGGGAAACAAAAGCACTTTCTTGTTTCCAGGTTCCAGAATCCTCTTCTGTCCCTTCTTTCTGATGGTTATTTTTTGCCTTCTGTGTTAGTGGCTTTGCTCCTTGCAATTCAGTGCTTAGTAGCAAAAATTTACAACAAACTGCTTCTTCAGTAGATCATTTTAATAATGAGAGAATAATGAAATAGCAACCTATTCTGATGTTTTTCTTTCCTTCTATCCAATTGGCCTTGCTTATCTTTTCTTAAATTTATTTGCATCATTTTCTCTAGTTTCAACTTCAGTGATAAGAATCTTTTGCCACTAACAGCAAGCTTTTATACAGAAGCAAACTAATAGCGAGCTCATATAACCAATGTTTACATTTCTTTTTTTCTTTTTTTTTTTTGAAACGGAGTCACACTCTATTGCCAGACTGGAGTGCAGTGGCACGATCTCAGATCACTGCAACCTCCACCTCCCGGGTTCAAGTGATTCTCCTGTCACAGCCTCCTGAGTAGCTGGGACTAAAGCCATGCACCACCACGCCCAGCTAATTTTTGTATTTGTAGTAGAGACGGGGTTTCACCATGTTGGCCAGTATGTTCTTGATCTCTTGACCTTGTGATCTGCCCGGCTTGGCCTCCCAAAGTGCTGGGATTACAGACGTGATCCACCGTGCCCTGCCAACCAATATTTGCATTTCTAATTGTTGAAAAGCATCCCTGGAGGCCCAGCCACATTTTGCTAGTCTGGAAAAAATAATTTATTCAATTATAATGTTATTAGTAAGCAGATTGTTTTACTTTTTAATTAATAATTTGTCTGGTAGGTTTGTAATAGGTAAGAATTGAATAATATTTAATCATAAGAATCTGCCTGTGGATACCCAACAATAAAAGGAGATCGATTTAGCAAAAAAGAATGTTGGCGATGGAGGAGGAAGCCTGGATACTAGTTTCAGTTCTGCCACTTCATTTCCTCTTCTCTGAGGTAGCTGAGGTAGTCTGTTGATTTTTCCTTAAGCTTTGTGACATTCTGGAAAATCAGACAGTGTGTTTGAGTCCTGCCCTCCAAAATAGGCCATAATTCCATTTTTTCACAACTGAGCACTCTTGCTGTCTTGTTCTACATGAAAATAGTGGCTGGTGGATATTAGAACTGTATTGTCTGCTGTCATACAGCATTTGCTGCAGTAGGTCCCTCTAAATTATTACTTGTGAACATAATTTTAAGCCCTGTATCTTATCCCTGTGAAGTTCTTTTTCTTCGTGTGAGTTTACGCAAGTCATACTTGCTGGGAGTTCTAAAGGTTTCCTGAATTACAAGACTGGAAACATATTTGGTTTGTCCATGTTAAAATTACTATTCGACAGTTTTTTACCCACAAATAGGCAATTTCATATGCCTCGACTTAATAATTACAGGTGAGTTAAACAGTTACCATACTGGGGTTTTACTTGAATGATCTTTCAACCTAAAAGCAGAATTGCCTTTTGTTTTATTGGGCATTCATTGTTTATTCAATAAAAAATACCTTTTGAATGCCTACCCTGTGCCAACCCTGTGGTAGGCCTCATGGATATGCCCATAAATAAAATAAACTTGTTCACTGATTTCAGGAAGTCTGCAATCTAATGGAGGAAATAGGCAGTTAACTATAAACAGTCATAAAGTTGCATGGGAGTTGTAGAAGAAAGAGTACATACTTCTGTACTGCATATGACATGAAGGATTTCTTACCTAAGTGTTCTAAAAGGTCTCTTGTTCAGAAATTAGCCAGGGGTTGGATAATTGGGATAGGATAAGGTGCTGCATAGCACACGTGGTCTTAAAAGTCACAGGTAACAGCATGTGCTCAAGGGTGAGGAAAAGCTTGGCAGTTTCATAGAGTATGAATGAAGATAAGACCAGAGAGGTGGTAGATAGGGAGCAGATCTTGGAAAGCTTCAGAAGGCATATTTAAGGTTTTGGGCAATAGAAGCCAATGAAGGATTTTAAGCAGGCAGTTTATATATTCCAGTTTATAAGGCAATATGCAAAGTGGTTTCCATCTAAAGGCAAATTGTCTTAATTCAGATCCTACTTCTACTGTATTCTAGCCATTGAAATTGGACACTTTAACATTCATAGGCTTTGGTTTCCTTATCTGTAAAATGGAACAGTAATAGTATTTTATTTGTAGAGTTGTTAGAATTAACGTAGATAATGTGTGAAAATACTTAGTATAATTCATATTCCATACTAAGTGTAAATAACAATATTTTTAATATATTTTTTGCTTATTATCTGTATTATTAGGCTTAGAAAGATCACTGCGTTATTTGGGTTAGAGTACAGTAAGAATAATTGCAGCGAGACCTGTTAGGCAAGAGATAATTTCGACTTGGATTGGGGTGTAGTGGCAAAGGGATGGGGAAAAAGATGCTATTTAAGAGGATTTCAGAGGTAGAATCCTTGGCACTCACTTGATAACTGAATGAATGTGGGAGATGAGGGAGAGGGAGAAATAAAAGAAGAGTCAAAGTATCTCAAATCATTTTTGGAATGACAGTTATATAAATAAACTCACATCAGCTGCACTATAATATGATAATCAGTTTAAAGCTCATTTTTTTTTAAATTAATAAAGTTTTATTTTTCCAAATGTACAGTTGCTTGGACCTGTTCATGCATCTTCACCAGCAGCTGGAGCATCTCTGCCCTTGGTATTTCTGGTGTAAATTACTTGAGCTTTGTGCTTTGAAACCAGTTTGATAAGTCCTTTACTAAGGAGCTCCGGAAAGGCTGCCCTGGCCAGGGAACCTCAAATCTTCAGTCTCTTAGAGACCACAGCTGGAGTTATAAGTTTATAGTTGGGAATTTCCTTACAGAGTTTGTCATAGGTAGCTTTGTCAAACAAGACAAGTTATTGAGCTTGTCCCCAACTTTGCCTTTGGACCATTTCTTCTTTTTGGCCTTGCCCCCAGATTTGTTCACTGGGTCTTTGTCTTTCTTGGCTGACTTTCTGGTGTCTTCCTTCTTCTTGTAGTCCTTGGGTGCGTCATGAAGCTCGGAGAGCAGTGGCGAACACTGCAACCTTGCCAAGATGTCGGACAAAAAGTGAAGCTCATTTTTACTAAATAATAAGTGATAGTTGACACTAATGCCCAAAGGTGAAACTTAGGAATTTGAAGAACTGAGATCATTTCTCATCTACAAGTAGTTAAGTCTCTGAATAGGTTGGGAGAAAAAGAAGTATAATTTGAACAGGTTTTTTCCTTTTTTTGTGCATTTCATTTCTTGTTCTGCTTTTTAAGTCTGTCATTTTGTTATTTTAATTATTTTGGCTTTTAAAGTTGTTTGAATTTTATTAGGTTGAACCATATAGAAGTTGGTGTGTTTGCAGATCAGAAAATGTTTAGCTAGCAATGAAATGTTTAAGTATCGGTAAGTTCGTAATTATATTCTTGTTCTGTAAGAGGTTTTAACTGACGTTTTGGGAGTCCATTTTGAGTTAGATTGAGTACCAAAGACTGTCTGAAGGAGTGTTGCTCTGATGGCATAAGAACAAGGGGAACAGAGCCCCATAAGGTAGAGAACTTCAACCCAGCATCATTCTATCTTGCTAAATCAATATGGTTCTGAGGGTATATAGAAATTGGAAAATTCAGAAAATGTAGAAAGCTGTAAAGAAGAAAGATTTTTTATAAATGACTGTTATCCCACCATCCAATAATAGTGTTGATTTTTAATGTATTTCCTTTTAGTCATATATATACAGAAACTTACTCAGCCTTCAAAGTAAATATAGAGAGAATATATCATGAAACTACATTATTTTATTTTTTATGGTATTTTTTAATCAGTATATAATGTACATACTTATAAGGTATATAATGATGTCTTGATACATACAGTATATACTGATCAGATCGTGGTAATTGTACACATACCCATCATCTCTAACATTTATCATTTCTCTGTGTTGGGAACATTCAGTAACCTCCTTCTAGCTATTTGAAACTATGTAATATTAACTATAGTCTTCCTAGAGTGGTGTAGAACACTAGAATGAGACTGTGTTATGGTTAAAGCCTAGATTTATTAGGCTATTGGGCTTTTTTTTTTTTTTAAAGTTTCTTAAATGAATATTTTGATTTTAGCTCCTAGACTGGTTTCACTAAAATAGAAACAAAGTTGAAATAACTGTTATTGTACTAATGACAGTAATGTAACAGCTTGTAGTTTTATTGCAATTTTATACATTTTTAATTCTTTCAAATTTTCAGCCATTGTATTGTCTGTTTTTATCAGCGTAACTATCTTGTTTTATACATGGGAAACCACAGAGAGAATAAGTTACATGCCCAAATTCACAAGTAGTAGTAGAAAAGCCTAGACTTTTAACTGTGGTGAATACTTTTTCTATTTATTGAAATACATTAGTAACTCTCGAAAATCACTCCTTTATTCTGCATTTATTAAGGTGCTCAGTAAATATCGTTTAAAAATAAAGTCTATGGCAAGTGTATAGAATAAGAAGGAATCTGATTTGACTGGAGGGCAAGTTATTTGGAGGAAGTAAAATAATTGAGATCAGACTAGAAAGGCAGTAAGGGAGCCATTGACTCTTCTTGAACAATGGGGTACAATAATAAAATGTACGTTTTGGATATTTAACCAGGCAGAAATGAAAAAATTGGAAAAATGAACAAAACTATAAGTCTAGGTGGTAATCATCTTCCGTGGTAAGTGTATTAAAAACTGAAAGGAGGAAATGCATTTGAGAACTATTGTGGAAATATATTTTCAGGACTTGGTGACTAAGAACAGTGCTTTGAGGGAGAGAGTGGTCAAGATGATTCCTCAGTTTCATACTGGAGTGCCTGGGAAAATGTCGGAAAAATACGGAGGCTTATTTGGTAGCAAGTTTTTGATTTTAGACATGCTGTGGTTGAAATCTCTACAGGACATCTAGGTGGAAGATGTGTAACTAGCAGGCAAATTGTAGATGGAAAAGGGAGCTTAGGAGTGAAGTCAGGGCTGGAGACCTAGGCAGAGAAATTATTTGTGTTGAGGGAATAATTGACGCCGTGTCATCATTCCTTAACAGCTACCTTCAGTGCTTTGCATGTGCATAGCATCAATGTATTTGAGTAATGTGTGACAGCAGTGTATTCAGATAGCTGTTGTATGACTTAGAACTGTATAGCCTCAGTAAGAGCGGGCCCTTCAGGATTCAGAGGAGCCCAGCCTTAACATTTTCAACATGATTGGCAGGAAAACACTGGCTCTTTAGGAAGGCTATTTTAGTTGTAGGAGCAGAAAGTAAGTAAAGTTATATACCCTCTCTGTGCTAGGTGTTGGTAAGCCTTTTGTATATACTTTATTTCTCAACAACCCTGTGAAGTACGGAGTGTTGTTCTCATTTTACAAATGATGAAACAGAGGCTTAAGAGAGGGTAAGTTATTTTAGAGCAAGAATTTGAACCTGATTATTGTTCCTTCGATGTTATTGGTTTTTTTACTGTGCCACACACTTTGCTCTGTTTCCCAGTAAGACCTGTCAGATATTACTGTCAGGATTATGGTTAAATAGGTTTTTTATTTTGGGGCCATGGCCACGTCTGGGACTGGCCAGACAACTGCTGCTGCTTCAGATTTAAAATGTAATTCGTTGCATTCTGATTATGGGTGGCCATTTGTCTGTAATAAGAAAGCATGTGTATAAAATGAATTAAAAATGAAAGTTGGATCACACGTTTTACTCAGTTGCCTACCTCTTGGAAAGCTTTCAAATGATAGCATTTGTTTATTGTCTTTTACTCTGCTGGATACTTTCAATTAATCCTTCTAAATAAAGATACTAAAATTACACATTTTCATAGCACCCAACTCTGTTACCTGAAAATTGTCATCATTTATGACATTACTAGGAAAACCACAATATGATCCCAGTTTGCATTGTTTTAAATAGACAGAAACAAGATTGTATATTCTAAGATACAAAGGCTTATTTGTACCATGAAACCTCCTGTAATATCCATGCCTGAGTAGAAGAAGGTACATTTACTTTTCTATCTTTTGTTTGTATTCTTGTATACTGCTCAGCAAATTAGAAGCAAGAAATGTATCTCAAAACTATAGGGTAGTGTCAAATATGGGAACAATGTAATTTCTCTGTGCTATTTCTGTAGTATTCAGAATGGGAAATACTTTACTTTTCTCTTGAAAAAAGTGATTTTAAAGTTTCTTGGCCAATATTCAGTGAATCATGAGAGACAAAATTAATGGTGAATAGCCTTCTAGCTAGAACTTCTTGTGCAGCTGAATTATGATTGTCAGTTGCCATATGCCATACACTTAAAGGAAGTTAATATACTTCCTTTCTTTAATATTGCTCTTTGTTCTTTGGGAAAATGCCATGAGAAAATAGGAATTACCACTCTGGCAGTGTGTTTCAGTCTAACTCCTGACACCCTGTTCTGCTACTGCCCCTTCTCCTTGCTAGCAGCCTGAATTCTGCTTATCTACTAAAAGGGGGATTCCAGACAGACGAGGAAACAGCTTTCAAATGAGGCACTGCAGGCATAGCAAGCCATTCCCACACTGTGCAATCTGGAAATCAGGGGGCACCTCTCTGACGATGAATTCCAATTAGTTGCTAAAGATTCCAGAGTGTGTGCACATACAGGCGTTTTCTTTCCCCTCCCCCTTTCTTCTTTTTCCCAAGCCCCCTCTTCTCCCTGTTTCCCCTCCTACTCCTTTATCCCCTCCCTTCGTGTCTCAGTTCTGCTGTACGCGAGTTGAAGCACATTCCTGCTTTGCAAGGCTTTCTGTTAAGGATGTATTGTGGCTTTTGTTTGGATTGCAGCATGCGGAATTACAGGTAACATTCTGAAATTGAACTAAACAGCAAATTCTGTTGAAATGTTTTCAAAGAGGCAAAATATTATATTGGAATCAATGAAGAAAGTAAATTATTTTGGCTATTTTTATTAGTGGTAATTGTAGTGAAAGGTTTTCATAAATATTATAAGCAAATTCCCTTTTTCCCCCAAGTCTCAAATGAAAGGAAATGGGGGTAAATTAATCTGACTGTGATTGGTTTTGTTTTATGCTGATCTTGAAAGCTTGATGTTGCTGCTGCTCCTCTATACAGTACAGATCAGTTACGTGGGGTGCTATTGAGGGTAGCCATGAATAGTGGTGCTAGTAGGGGTGGAGTGGGAGGGATGATGCCAGCCTGAGCTAGCCAGGTTCTTTGATTAGGGCATTGGATGTGAAATGTAAAATGCTCTCTCCTTTTCTTCTATCAGCTGTTCAGAGGAGACTCATTACAACTCCTGCTGAAGCTCCTAATCTTCTTCCCTTCTCTTCTACCCTTTCCCCCTACCCTCACTTGGCCTGAAGACGTTGTCCCCAGAGTTTACGTTGCTCCCCTGGTGCTATGTGTATGGTGAACCTGGCGCTATGGCCACGTCTGGGACTGGCCAGACAACTACTGCTGGCTCTCCTTATTCCAGGAAGGATTTAAAGGGGAATTGCACTGCAGGCAATGCACCAGAGCAGCAGCATCGGGAGCTTGGGGACTAAGGCTCCTCTGACATTATTACACACATGCAAAGCTGACCGCAATGACAGCAGCTGCTTCTTTGAACTGTTGGCAGCAGCCAAGCGGCAGCATGAAGTGACAGATCACTCCTGAGCTCAAGATGAACTCCACCTTGGATGGTAATCAGAGCAGCCACCCTTTTTGCCTCTTGGCATTTGGCTATTTGGAAACTGTCAATTTTTGCCTTTTGGAAGTATTGATTATTGTCTTTCTAACTGTATTGATTATTTCTGGCAACATCATTGTGATTTTTGTATTTCACTGTGCACCTTTGTTGAACCATCACACTACAAGTTATTTTATCCAGACTATGGCATATGCTGACCTTTTTGTTGGGGTGAGCTGCCTGGTCCCTTCTTTATCACTCCTCCATCACCCCCTTCCAGTAGAGGAGTCCTTGACTTGCCAGATATTTGGTTTCGTAGTATCAGTTCTGAAGAGCGTCTCCATGGCTTCTCTGGCTTGTATCAGCATTGATAGATACATTGCCATTACTAAACCTTTAACCTATAATACTCTGGTTACACCCTGGAGACTACGCCTGTGTATTTTCCTGATTTGGCTATACTCGACCCTGGTCTTCCTGCCTTCCTTTTTCCACTGGGGCAAACCTGGATATCATGGAGATGTGTTTCAGTGGTGTGCGGAATCCTGGCACACTGACTCCTACTTCACCCTGTTCATCGTGATGATGTTATATGCCCCAGCAGCCCTTATTGTCTGCTTCACCTATTTCAACATCTTCCGCATCTGTCAACAGCACACAAAAGAGATCAGCGAAAGGCAAGCCCGCTTCAGCAGCCAGAGTGGGGAGACTGGGGAAGTGCAGGCCTGTCCTGATAAACGCTATGCCATGGTCCTGTTTCGAATCACTAGTGTATTTTACATCCTCTGGTTGCCATATATCATCTACTTCTTGTTGGAAAGCTCCACTGGCCACAGCAACCGCTTCGCATCCTTCTTGACCACCTGGCTTGCTATTAGTAACAGTTTCTGCAACTGTGTCATTTATAGTCTCTCCAACAGTGTATTCCAAAGAGGACTAAAGCGCCTCTCAGGGGCTATGTGTACTTCTTGTGCAAGTCAGACTACAGCCAACGACCCTTACACAGTTAGAAGCAAAGGCCCTCTTAATGGATGTCGTATCTGAAGTGGCTCAGTTACGGGGTTCCCCTGTGTGTGTGTGTGTGTGTGTGTGTGTGTGTGTGTTTTATCTCTAAGTATTCCTCATTCACTAGGAAATCTGAGACAGAATACTTTGACTCTAAGCAATAGCATGCAAATTATTCATACGGATACCTTCTAAGTTTGTAGAAATGGTTTTCAAAAGTGCTTTTGAATTAGAAGACTTAAGATCATGAAGACAAATTGCTGTTGCTTTCAGTTTTTGAAATGTCTTGGAAATGACTACAGTTCTCAGATTTAGAATGAATAAAGCCATATCTAACACCTCTTTCCAGCTGGCATGACTGAACCTGAGTGTGAAAAGCGTCAGCATTTTAAAAAGTCATCATTTTGTTGTCACTTTCTGGGTTATTTCCAGCTATTTAGGCTTCATGTGCAATTGATTTCTTCTAACAGGGAATAGTAAAATATAAATTAAAAGGTTTTAGAAATTATTTTTTATGTATGCCAAAGCATAACTACACTGCAAGTTTCAACACTGTCATTTAGAAAGCCAAATGTTCTATGTTTTATTCTCTTGAGAGAATTCTCAGTAGGGTGAATAATGTGAGCACATAAACACTAATTTTAGAATTTTACAGTGAACCATGAAGCAAAAGTGCAATCAAATTATACAGTTTATGAAAAACTGTGCTACTTTTTGTGCCATACTTCACAGAGATCTAAAGATATGTGTGCATAGAAGTGATCATGTTGTAGTATTTTTGCCTGTGCCTTTGTGTTAATGTCTATATTTAGAATATCTGAATTGTTAGATTTATCTTTTACGGCAAAATGTGTTTAAGCTAAAAAATAATTCAGTGATAGGCTGTTGGCTGTACATTTTATAACAGTGACTATGTACAAAAATGTGTCTTTAATATTGTCTGTTCTTTCTATTCAAAGACTTCCGAAATATTAGAACATCAGGGAGAAGGGTATCTGTCATAAGCAACTGAGTCAGAAAGTATACCATAGTATACTGATTGTTTTTTAAAAATACAAGGGAGCTGAGACATTTTCTTTGTGGTTAAATGGAATCAACTAGTTATTTTTGAAAAGTGTTCTTTCAGTTAGTGCTAAGGAATCCACATTTGAAGAGGGGAAGGGGAAACTCTTAAGTCTCTTATTGCTATTCTCTTTCTGGAAAAAAATCCTTTGGCATACAGTTCTTAATAGTCTTTTTTTCTTCCCTGCCAAAGTACTAGTAAACCTATAGGATTTTACTATTCTTCATAGAATTATTATTGAGTTATGTGTTTGTATATAGTAGTGATGTTTGTTCTTAAAAGTGATGATCTTCAGAGCAAGAGGTTTATTTTTCTAAAAGGAGAGAAGGAATTCCAGCAGCTCCAAGCACGAAAGTATTTCCTCTACTTTTCTGCAGGTTTTAATGTTTTGGAAATCTTCAGGGGACTTACTTGATCTCTGCCTTTGGCTAGAGGTTGTAATCTGAATGCGACAATGGTGTTCAGTGAGATGGAAGATGGAAGAAACCCGGGGAACATGGGTTAAAGTGGGTTTCTGAATCCAAGAAAGGACATGGATATTTATAAAGCAGGCAGATAAGCTTTGGTTTTCCATCATGATGCCAGTGTTCTTACGATTTTAGGCTTTAGACATCAACTTGATTTTAACCTCAGTTGTGTTCTATTTAAACTTTCTTATTTTAAGTGACTAAGCATTATATAAACATTCAAACTTCAGATTCTGGATTTTTCCCAAAAGCTTGCTTGCTCTTTATGTTTAGTGTTAGCAAATTTTATTCTAAGCTGTTTCAAAATTTAGAACTCATACTGAAATTCCAAGTTATGTTAGAAATGGCTTGCCATTTCAAATGGGAAACCTTTTCTGTTGGATTCTGAAAAATGGTTGTATTGTAAACATTTCCCCTTTAAGTGGTACAGATCTAAAAAAACAAAATTTACCTTTTTCATATATGTTAGAGAATGTAACCTGTTCACATTTGCATTTTGCTTATACATTTTTAGTTTAGAAAATATGGTGATTTTAAACACTTAATTTTTGTTGAAAAATTGATGTTAAATCAGTAGGTTTGATCTCATTTTGTTGTGTGTGTATGTGTTGGGAGAGAGGAGGTGCTCCTGGACACAGTAACGTCTTCTTCAGTGACTGGGGGTGTTTTCTGTGTGATGTGTTTGGAAAGTTAATATTTAACTGATCTTTTCATCCTGGCATATTTAATGCAACATTTCATGACATTTAGTTTAAATACCAGTCTGATTTCAAAAAAAGTGTATTTTTAGAATCAGTTACCATGGCGTTGACAGGATAACTCATTTAACTTTATATGGCATGTGACTGGTATCAGAGGAAACATACTTTTGGTGATTATGTTGAAATTATTTCATAGTAAATTTTAAAGTAGGCTTATACTAATGTTATATTTGTAAACTAGTTGTATTTTTTAATGCAGTGATTTCAGTGAAAGTGTTTTTCCCCCCTTCTTAGAGTTGAAAAGCAATTACAGATGGACTAGTGTGCTCTACTTTAGTGAGAGCATTATCTTAACACTAGATTGGATATTTGCATTTTTTTATGGGTCTGTCGACTCTTACTCAGAATTCCATTTTGGAAAAGGTTTTCTTTAAGCTTTATTACTGGATAAATTCTTTTCAAACCTTTTATAATGGCTTTTCCTTTTTACTTGAATAATGGTCTCAGTATTTTAAGGAGGGGAAACTTGAATTTTTGTACCATAAATGCATTGCCCACCTCCTTGAACTTGAAAATGAAGCAACAGGGTTACAGACTCCCAGATGGCCCAGATGGTAGAGTGGTTTCTAGGAGGGTTTCCTCAGCTTTTCAGGTTTGTTTGAAAAATCTGCATGGTGGCTTGGTATAGGAATTGTCTTAATTTCACTGACTGTGTTTTTGTTTCATAAGTGGTTGGTGAAATTATCAGCAAGCCAGAATTTATTGTTATGTGAGCAAATTTTGGGAAATTTAAGAATGGGAAAATGGTGGCATTGAGATTTTTTGAAGCCCTCATAAATCATTTTGTGTGTTGATTTTTGTATAATTTTTTTCATTTCAGGTTGAAGAAAAGCTAAATATAAGTATTTATATTAAAAGTATATATTATTAATATTATGTTGCAGGCCTTGGAAATACTGTGGACATTTCTTATGGCTGTAAATGAGTCATTTGGCCTTTCTTCAAAATTTGCATGACAAAAGGGCATCATATAGTAAAAATGCAGTTGGAACTGAGAGTAAAAAAATGTAGGCTTGTGTTTCTAATTAAGTAGTTTTGTAAATGAGGGCAAGTCACTTCTCTAAATGCTTAATTTATCCTAAAAGGAGATACTGATCCCTTCATACCTCATAGGGTTAGTTTGAGGCTTGAGTTAGATAATAGATATGAAAGTACTTTGTAAATTGTAAAGTGCTTTGCAAATAAAAATGATTACTGTTATTTGTATCTGCCATTCTTCTACATGTCTACACATCCTACATCATGATGTGTTCCCCCACACTTAGATTTTAAATAACAGATAATATCTCTTTTTGGTATCAAGAGATTAATGTGGTAATTTGAGTCCTCTATATGGTTAGATAACTTTACTCCTGGAAACTCTGTAGCTTCAGCCCAGAGAGCTTCAGGCAGTGCTTTCAAATTGCCAGTTTTTCACAGAATGGATTAGGAAGTATGGAGTTGGATCACACGTTCTTGGCTCTGGATCCAGATAAAGCTCTGTAAAATAGGTCACAAGGCCAAAGGAACTATAGAAATCCTTGGTGAAAGAAACTTTCTGTGTGGTATTGCTTTGTCTCCCTTTCAGCCTTTCCCAGTTTTCTGGCTCTGTCTTTCCTTCTTCCTTCCTTTTCTTACCACACTGTTGGTCATGTATCCAGAAAGAAGTATTTCCTTGATACTGCCATAGGGTATGGAAAATTGTATTATGTAAGAGCAGTGACTTTTAGGGAAAGTTTAAGAAGCAATCAAGAAGCACTTATCTAGCAAGTTCTGCTGTGTGCTAGGTAGTATAACTAGCCTCAGAGAGGGATCAAAGAGGGATCATTTCTTTCTTGTAGAACTATACAGTTTTTAGATGTTTCATGTGTAAAAATTCTGTGATTATCTGTCTTCCAGGAAGCCTCACTGTTCTCTACTTTATCTGGAAGAATGTACCAAGACTTCCTGGTGGGCCACCCCCACAGCATTGTTTTTTGTGGGGTGCAATCATATGATGCTGGTGTATAAAATCATATCACTTTATTAGTTTAAGAAATAGATGCTGGTAATTCAGAGCAGTCTTCTCTATCAGCAGATGTTTATGGGAAGCCAAACCATATTCAGAAGGTTGTTTGGTGGGAATGGAATCTCAGAACATGGTTCTGTAATGTGAACGTTATTGGGATCATAGTAAAAGATGAAATCATCCCTGCTTCCATTATTGACTATCCTACCTTCTCATTGACATATTGCGGTATTTCCTTGGTTCAATTAACTTCTTCTGTTACTTGTCTTTTAGTCAAATTCCTTGCAAGTCTTCGTAGTATGCAAGCCTGCAACTCATTCTTTCTCTTTAAGGTGATTTTATATCCCCAGCCTTATCTTTTATCATAAAACATACTAGTTTTATGATTTATTATTATTTGAAACACATCTTTATTCTTTACATTAGTTTGGGGGAGCAGCTCATCTTAGTTTTCATGTAGTTCCTAGTTAGAAAAGCAAAGTACGTGACACTCACTATAAAAATTAATAATATCAGATAATTAGGGTTGTGATATTCATGTCAGATCATGTCTAGCAAAGGAGTCAGGGAGAGGCAGATGAGTTGGAAAGAACCTTAGAAATCATTTGGTCTGATTCTGTTATTTTGCAGATGAGAAACCAGCCCAGTGGCCCCTCCTAGACTTCATGCTTCCTAATCCATTGCCCTTTTCTAGTATATCCCATTGCTTTTGCAGAGGAGTTGGAATTTGACTTGACTCAGCCGTGCCATGGGATGGGCATGTATGTACATGTGTAATTCTAAGGATAAGAAGTATGAGCAGTAATATAAATGTAATTGAGACTCGTTTCAGGAGAATTTTATAAACTTTATGTTAATTCCAACGCTGTAGGAGCTAGTGACTATTATTAACCCCATTATACAGATGAAACAGATTTTGAGTTGCCAGAGTCAGACAGCTTATAAGTGGAAGATCTGGGATTCCAACCCAGGACTTCCTGACTCCAAAACCTATATTCTTACATTAATTTTTTCTTACATTCTACATTTAATTTTCACAGCAACTTATCAGGTAGTTATTTTTAATTTTCCTGTTTTATAGGTGAGAAAACATAGGCTTAGACAGGTTAAGAAGCTTCTAAGGTTACATATATAGTAAGTGTTATGAATCAAATCCAATTCTTTGACTCTAAAGCTTGTGTTCTGTACCATTATATAAGCCTAGGCTTTAGAAACATATGACAGACTTTCTGCTAAATATAGCAGATCGAATTGAATATGCATATTTCTGTTAACTCCGCTATAAAGAATAGCAAAGGTATACTATGGACAAAAAGAGGGAGAACAGAGATGATGGCAGACAGTGATGCCAGCAGAGTTTTGGAATATAGAAATCCAGTGGACAAGTAGTAACTGACTCAGCGGAATCAACAGAGCTGCTTCCTAAAGTCAAAGGAGGAAGAGGAACAAAAAGAAACAGACTGATTTGTCTGTTGACTACAGTAACTACTTGGGAATTGGATTCCTAAGATGTCCCTGTAAGCATAGAGACTGAAAAACAAGAATTGTTAGAAGCCAAAAAACAGAATAATTGATAGAAAGTTTATACAAGGAATATTTAGACATCGTCACCCCTTACTCCTCTTCCCTGTCCCACCTGAATCCCCATCCCAAGCAGGCAACTGGTTTTCACCATTGCAGCAGAAGATGGGAGATTTACTCTTTGGAAAAGCTGAACCACGCTAGATGCCAGGCATAGCTGAGAATGGGACTAAAGTGTGTTTTGTTGCAAACGTGACTGCTGTAAGAAAGTCTGTATGTTAAATAATCAGCACCCTTGCCACACTACACTCTCAGAATGTTCTAAGCAGGATATGAGAGGAGTGTATTCTGGGGATGGACATTTGAGGGCTCACAAACAAAATAGCCACATTCCCTGCCCAGTCACTTTAAGGTGATGCCCATCAATCAACACATCCCACCCATGCACACAGAGCTCACAGCTTTTTATTGCTTCCCTTTTAATATTAACAGCCAGAGATAATTGCACTTTTGAGAAGAAGTTCTCACATAAAGTACAGAGCCCAAAACAGTCAAGCAAATGACAGAAATCAGAAACAGAAAGAATGTAGGTTACTGAAGAAAACAACCAAAAAAAAAACAACCCAACTCTAAAATTCTCAGATACTATTTTGTATCCATTAAAGGAGGGGAGAACAAAGTGCAGTAGAAATGAATAGGAAGAGAACAAGAAAGAACTCTTGCAATTTAAAGTATAATAAGATTTTTTTTTATTTTTTATTAGTAAGCAGGCTAGAAAATGAACTAGGCCAGATACTGAAACAAAAAGAGAGCTAGAAAATAGGTGAAAAAGCAAAACAATTGGAGGCTTAATCAGGGAAACCCAATAGCTGACTAACAGGATCTTCAGAAACAGAATAGAGGAAAAGAAAGGAAGAAATTATTAAATATCACAAGAAAATTTTCCAGTGCGGAAAGATACGTGTTTTCGTAATGAAAAGGCCCATTTCAGTGTAATAAAAAGATTCGCATGATGGCAAATTGTTATAAAATTTCAGAACAATGGGGATAAAAATTCCTAAAAGCTTCTTGAATGGGGTGGGATGTGGATGGTGAAGTCTAAATATACAAAGTATAGGGATTTGAGTAGCAGAGGACTTTTTGCCACAGTAAAGCTAGAAGATAAAGGGTAATAGCTTCAAAATTTTGAGAAGTGATTTCCAACCCACAATTTTATGTGCAAACTGTCATTCAAGTGTGAGGGTAAACTAAACTCATTTTGAGATCTGCAAAATCACAAAATGTTCACCTGCCTTACATACTTTCTTGGGAAGTTACTGAAGGACGTGCTTCTTCAGAATGAGGGAGGAAATCAAGAAAGAGATACAGAACCCAGGAAACAGGGTCTCTGACACGGGAGGATGGTGGAAAGAATTCCCACAGGAAGGAAAGCTCTAGGAGAGCAACTATGCAGGAGACCTAAAGAGCAGCCAGTGTGAATAGGAGCAGGAAGAAAGAAGGCACTAGGTGGTATGTCTCTAGGAAAATATAGTTGGAGTTTTCACCCTGGTGAGAAGAATTTAGTTTTGTGAGATTTTTAGGGGAAGAATTGGTGATACATACATAGAAAACCAAGGAAAAGAAAAAGATAGGCAATTAATAACTTCTGAAAAAAATAGAAAATTGAAGAAAGGAAATAAGATCATGACATACTCTGGTTCAGTTATGTGTTGCTGTGTATAGTTTGGTGTTTAGCCAAAAATGATAGCAACACTATGTTGATAGGATGAGGGGAAGGAAAGTGTTTGGGGGGTGAGGGGAAGGAGGGTGGGTGTAACAGAACTACAGTAGCATCTTCCACACTGTAAACTCTGAAACTGATGTCTAAAGTGGAAAAACCCAGAAAATAGCAGCTTAAGCATTTTATTCAGAAATATGAATTAAAAACAAACAGGTTTAAAAAAAGGAGAGATGAAAATGGTTGCCTCTAAGGAATAGGGTATGAGGAGTGAAGGGAATTTCATTGTAAGCTTTGTACTGTTTGACCTTTTCACTTATGTAAGTGTATTGTTTTCTATGAAAAGCATAGACCACATTTAGGAAAAGAGAGATGTATTTTAACAGAAGTAAAGGGAAGTCGGAAAGGAGGCCCAGGTTTAGAACATTACTGAAATAGTAAATGGGGGCATAATAGCACTATTTTACTTATGGCTCTTTATAAAGCCATTTCCTATTAATTGTCTCATTTAATCCCCCTAGAAATACAGGCAAAGTTAATACTGTCCCTCTTTTCCAGTTGTGGGAATGGAGTTTTGGGGCTTTAAGACCTTTTTGGTTTCCAGTCTGCTGTATCACTACGCCTCCATAGGTGTCTGTTTGGAACTTTTTAGATTTTGTTATTTTGTTTTTTACCAAGAGAAGACAGAAGGTGCTGGAATGCATCCTTCTTTGACATCGTGGGAAGGAATATAGGAAAACACGTTTGTGTGTGTGTGTGTGTGTGCGCGCGCGTGTGTGTATGTATATAATGAGTATGTGTGCTGGTACATGAGTATTTATAATACAAGACATGGTATTATGAAATGATGAGAGGAATGCAAAATGTCATGTAGTGTTCAAAGGCAAGGAAGTGCATGTTAAATAGATTTCCTTAGAAGGCAGCATGAGAGATGGGCTAGTCTCAGGGTAGAGTAGAATTTCTGTAGTCTGATTCCTCTCC